AGAAATGAGTTGAATTATTTGATAACAGGGGAAAGTTGCCGGATTTACGGTTGTAAGCAGGCTAGTGGAGCTGTGGCGTGAATAGGAAGGAAACACACACGCACATACCAATATCTCATTGTGATAGTGTTTAGGTTGGTGTTCGGTGACCAGGGAGGGTCAGGTACAGAAGAGACCTCTTCCTCCCACCTTGAAGTAGGGTGCAACTTAGAGATAATATATGATTTCCATGCGACTGTTGATGAGATCTGGAATAGACACGACAGTTTATGGTTATTTTAAACTATCACATGACCCTTAGCAAGAATGTCTATTGGTCGTCACTACAACAGTACAATATGTTAAAACCTTACTAATGCTTCATTTACACAAACGCTCTATTAAACATAAAGAGTCTTAATTTTAACACACGAGTTTCGTTACCTAGCGTTAGGTGGCCAACGATTAATAGTTAGAATAAACATTAAATAGGAAGATGTTTTGAACTAATATTATTTTCATATGTAACAAACGTCTCCAATTCACATAAGAAATGAAAAAATAGACGATTCCAAACTTGTTGTTAAACGAATGTTTAAACAACTCTACTTATTCAATTATGTACAAGCTGCCCAGTGTCGGCTAACAATACGAAGAATTAAATTGTGGCGGAATGCTACAAGTTCTTCAAATACCTATAGAACGATAGGTTTCTTTTTTGTGAGTATAAAATACGTAAATACACCAGTTTGATTTTCACATAAGAGAGTTTTTTTTTTAATAGATTTTTCTGAAATTGTCAACTGAATATCGAGGTAATTTATCTAACAACATAAGAAGGTTTGAGTTGTAGTGCAAAAATTGTAATTATGACAATCTGTGTAGGTTGTGCTTAGTCTTAAATGTTGAATAGTTTGTAATTTATCAAAGTTAGATTGGGCAACATTGAGCCAATCTGGACATAAGTATTCAAATATTGATTTTCTGTAAGATTTATCAGTTCTAATTATATTTTCAGGTGACACACCTCCTTTGTTACTAAGATTGATCAGTTCTAATTATATTTTCAGGTGACACACCTTTTATTACTAAGATTGATCAGTTCTAATGATGTTTTCAGGTGACACACCTCCGTTGTTACTAAGATTGATCAGTTCTAATGATGTTTTCAGGTGACACACCTCCGTTGTTACTAAGATTGATCAGTTCTAATGATATTTTCAGGTGACACACCTTCGTTGTTACTAAGATTGATCAGTTCTAATTATATTTTCAGGTGACACACTTCTGCTGTTACCAGTTAAACTTCTTACATAGTTTCTTTCCCTGCCTTCGTTTTTGATGTTATTTATATGCGTAATCCACATAAACCTCATATCAAAAGATAGGCCAAAAAAACCTGGCTGATGCAGCTGTTTAAAGCTGGGTTGTCTATAAGTTAAGTCGGCATTTTTGTAATAGATTATAACAAAGAAACAAGCGACGTACCCACTGTAGAGATCGAACTCTGAATTTTAGTGTTATAAGCCTTCAGACTTACTGCTGAGACACTGGGGTAGTAAAGAGAGATACTGAGAATAGCTTGAGCTTTAACTTCTAAAAATAATTTTCAAAAATTATAGGGAAAACTAATTGTTTTTGACTACTGCAACTGACGTATTTCATTGATCACTTCTACCCCTCAGTGGATCAATGGTAAGTTTAGAAACTTACAACGCTAGAATCTTGAGTTCGATTCTCCGCAGTGGAAAAAAAAAGCGCTTTTAGCTCATTGTGTAACTTTACCCAAAAATCCAAGACCAATAATTCATAAAAAACAACAACAAAAAAACTCAAAAATATTTTATACATATGACAGGAAAATTAATTTTAACGTGATTACAATACAATGATTCGTAATGTGAAAACTAGAGTAACCAATTGGGGAAAATATATGCTAAGAAGTTTAATCTTGATCAGCTTTGTTGCTTTAAGAAATCTTGTGCATTTATTACACGTACCTTACCTGCACGTAAGTCATTTATGGTTTGGCTTAACCCTAAAATTACCGATGAGGCTTTTGCAACACATTTTTTGTAAACTATTTATGCCCCCCC